ATGGGGATGGGGAGTGGGGAGTGGGCTTTGGGAGTGGGGAGTGGGAATGGGGAGGGGGCACTGGGGATGGGGAGTGGGAATGGGAATGGGGAGTGGGAGTGGGCACTGGGAATGGGGAATAGGGAAGGGAGTGGGTGATGGGAACAGGGAGTGGGGAATGGGGAGTGAGGGTGAGGAGTGGGAATGGGGAGTGTGCACTGGGAATGGGAATGGGGAGTGGGCTTTGGGAACGGGGAGTGGGCACTGGGAATGGGAATGGGAGTGGGCAATGGGAGTGGGGAATGGGGAATGGGAATGGGGAGTGGGCTTTGGGAACGGGGAGTGGGCAATGGGAGGGACAAACTGACGGCCGGGAGAGCTGAAATGGCCACGGGAAGGCACAGAGTGACCGCTGCGAAGGACAAAGTGACCGCTGGCCGTGCCATGGGGATGGGGAGTGGGGAGTGGGCTTTGGGAGTGGGGAGTGGGAATGGGGAGGGGGCACTGGGGATGGGGAGTGGGAATGGGAATGGGGAGTGGGAGTGGGCACTGGGAATGGGGAATAGGGAAGGGAGTGGGTGATGGGAACAGGGAGTGGGGAATGGGGAGTGAGGGTGAGGAGTGGGAATGGGGAGTGGGCACTGGGAATGGGAATGGGGAGTGGGAATGGGAATGGGGAGTGGGCACTGGGACTGGGAATGGGGAGTGGGCACTGGGAATGGGAATGGGGAGTGGGCTTTGGGAATGGGGAGTGGGCTTTGGGAACGGGGAGTGGGCACTGGGACTGGGAATGGGAACGGGGAGTGGGCGCTGGGACTGGGAATGGCAGTGGGCAATGGGAGGGACAAACTGACGGCCGGGAGAGCTGAAATGACCACGGGAAGGGACACAGCGACCCTGCGAAGGACAAAGTGACCGCTGGCAGTGCCCGCGTGGCCCCGGGGGTGCCACCACCCCGAGGGTGACCCCGTGTCCCCCCCGTGTCCCCCCCGTGTCCCCAGGGCTGGATTTCCCCCGGCGCCCCCCCTGGAGCTTCGGGATGAGCCCCGAGGAGCTGCGGGCGCGGGAGGAGGCGGCGTTTGGGGACTTCCTGCGGGGGCTGGGGGACCCCGGGGACACCCCCGGGGACAGCCGGGGCCTGGCGCCCTTCGAGCACAACCTGGAGGTGGGTCAGGGGGGCTTGGGGACATCGTGGGGGGGTTGGTTTGGGGTCACCGGGGGGGGTTAAGGGGGTTTTGGGGTCACCGGGGGCCGCAGGCACAGCGCTGTCCCCGCGCTGTCCCCAGACGTGGCGGCAGCTGTGGCGGGTGCTGGAGATGTCCGACATCGTGCTGGTCATCGCCGACGCCCGGCACCCGGTGACTGCCCCTGTCCCTGTCCCCGTGTGCCCTGGGGCTGTCCATGTGTCACTGTCCTGTCCCTGTCCCCGTGTGCCCTGGGGCTGTCCCCCTGTCACTGTCCTTGTGTCCCCTGTGCCTGTCCCTGTGTCCCCTGTCCCTGTCCCCGTGTGCCCTGGGAGTGCCCCCGTGTCACTGTGTCCCCTGGGACTGTCCCCCTGTCACTGTGTGTCCTGTCCCTGTCCCCGTGTGCCCAGAGGCTGTCCCTGTGTCACTGTCCTGTCCCTGTCCCCGTGTGGCCCTGGGGCTGTCCCCCTGTCACTGTCCTTGTGTCCCCTGTGCCTGTCCCTGTGTCCCCTGGGGCTGTCACTGTGTCACTGTGTCTTCTGACTGTCCCTGTGTCCCCTGGGGCTGTCCCTGTCCCTGTCCCCGTGTTCCCAGAGGCTGTCACTGTGTCACTGTGTCCCCTGTCCCTGTCCCCGTGTCACTGCGTGTCCTGTCCCTGTCCCCATGTGCCCTGGGGCTGTCCCCGTGTCACTGTGTCCCCTGGGGCTGTCCCCTGTCTCTGTCCCTGTGTCCCCTGGGACTGTCTGTGTGTCCCTGTGTCTTCTGACTGTCCCCATGTCCCCTGACTGTCCCTGTCCCTCCAGGCCCTGGGTGTCCGCATGTCCCTTCACTGTCCTTGTCCCTGTCCCCAGGCTCTGGGTGTCCCCCTGACCGTCCCCATGTCCCCCTGACTGTCCCTGTCCCCCTGGTGCCCCCAGGCTCTGGGTGTCCCCCTGACTGTCCCTCTCCCCCTGGTGTCCCCAGGCTCTGGGTGTCCCCCTGACTGTCCCCATGTCCCCTGACTGTCCCTGTCCCCTGGTGTCCCCAGGCTCTGGGTGTCCCCCCCGCGCTGGCCGCCCACGTGACGCAGGACCTGGGCAAGGGGCTCATCCTCATCCTCAACAAGGTGGACCTGGCCCCCCCCGCGGTGGCCGTGGCCTGGAGCCACCTGCTGAGGGCTCGCTACAGCCCCGCCCGGGTGGTCCCGTTCTGCACGGCCCCCGGCCCGCCCCCCGGCCCTGGTACCACCCAGGGGGGCTTGGGGGGGGCACTGGGGGGGGTTTGGGGTGACATTGGGGGGGTTTGGGGTGACACTGGGGGCACTTGGGGACATTGGGAGCCACCTGCTGAGGGCTCGCTACAGCCCCGCCCGGGTGGTCCCGTTCTGCACGGCCCCCGGCCCCGGTACCCACTGAGGGGCTTTGGGGGGACACTGGGGGGGTTTGGGGCAGAACTGGAGGAGTTTTAGGGGAGTTTGGGGTGGAATTGGGGGGCTTTGGGGTGGAATTGGCAGGGTTTGGGGGGTATGTATACCCGGGGGTTTGGGGTCACCGGGGGGGGTTAAGGGGGTTTTGGGGTCACCGGGGGCCGCAGGCACAGCGCTGTCCCCGCGCTGTCCCCAGACGTGGCGGCAGCTGTGGCGGGTGCTGGAGATGTCCGACATCGTGCTGGTCATCGCCGACGCCCGGCACCCGGTGACTGCCCCTGTCCCTGTCCCCGTGTGCCCTGGGGCTGTCCATGTGTCACTGTCCTGTCCCTGTCCCCGTGTCCCCTGGGGCTGTCCCCCTGTCACTGTCCTTGTGTCCCCTGTGCCTGTCCCTGTGTCCCCTGGGGCTGTCACTGTGTCACTGTGTCCCCTGTCCCTGTCCCCGTGTGCCCAGAGGCTGTCACTGTGTCCCCTGTGCCTGTCCCTGTGTCCCCTGGGGCTGTCCCTGTGTCACTGTGTGTCCTGTCCCTGTCCCCGTGTCACTGCATGTCCTGTCCCTGTCCCCGTGTGCCCTGGGGGTGCCCCCGTGTCACTGTGTCCCCTGGGACTGTCCCCCTGTCACTGTGCGTCCTGTCCCTGTCCCCGTGTGCCCAGAGGCTGTCCCTGTGTCACTGTCCTGTCCCTGTCCCCGTGTGCCCCTGGGGCTGTCCCCCTGTCACTGTCCTTGTGTCCCCTGTGCCTGTCCCTGTGTCCCCTGGGGCTGTCCCTGTGTCACTGTGTGTCCTGTCCCTGTCCCCGTGTCACTGCATGTCCTGTCCCTGTCCCCGTGTGCCCCTGGGGCTGTCCCCCTGTCACTGTCCTTGTGTCCCCTGTGCCTGTCCCTGTGTCCCCTGTGCCTGTCCCTGTGTCCCCTGGGGCTGTCCCTGTCCCTGTCCCCGTGTTCCCAGAGGCTGTCACTGTGTCACTGTGTCCCCTGTCCCTGTCCCCGTGTCACTGCGTGTCCTGTCCCTGTCCCCATGTGCCCTGGGGCTGTCCCCATGTCACTGTGTCCCCTGGGGCTGTCCCCTGTCTCTGTCCCTGTGTCCCCTGGGGGTGTCCCTGTGTCACTGTGTGTCCTGTCTCTGTCCCCGTGTCACTGTGTGTCCTGTCCCTGTCCCCGTGTCCCTGTCCCCTGTCTCTGTCCCTGTGTCCCCTGACTGTCCCTGTCCCCCTGACTGTCCCTGTCCCCCTGACTGTCCCTGTCCCCCTGACTGTCCCTGTCCCCCTGACTGTCCCTGTCCCCCTGACTGTCCCTGTCCCCCTGACTGTCCCTGTCCCCCTGACTGTCCCTGTCCCCCTGACTGTCCCTGTCCCCCTGACTGTCCCTGTCCCCCTGACTGTCCCTGTCCCCCTGACTGTCCCTGTCCCCCTGACTGTCCCTGTCCCCCTGACTGTCCCTGTCCCCCTGACTGTCCCTGTCCCCCTGACTGTCCCTGTCCCCCTGACTGTCCCTGTCCCCCTGACTGTCCCTGTCCCCCTGACTGTCCCTGTCCCCCTGACTGTCCCTGTCCCCCTGACTGTCCCTGTCCCCCTGACTGTCCCTGTCCCCCTGACTGTCCCTGTCCCCCTGACTGTCCCTGTCCCTCCAGGCCCTGGGTGTCCCCATGTCCATTCACTGTCCTTGTCCCCCTCCTGTTCCCCAGGCTCTGGGTGTCCCCATGTCCCCTGACCGTCCCCATGTCCCCCTGACTGTCCCTGTCCCCCTGGTGTCCCTGGGCTCTGGGTGTCCCCCCTGACTGTCCCTGTCCCCCTGACTGTCCCTGTCCCCCTGGTGTCCCCAGGCTCTGGGTGTCCCCCCCGCGCTGGCCACCCACGTGACGCAGGACCTGGGCAAGGGGCTCATCCTCATCCTCAACAAGGTGGACCTGGCCCCCCCCGCGGTGGCCGTGGCCTGGAGCCACCTGCTGAGGGCTCGCTACAGCCCCGCCCGGGTGGTCCCGTTCTGCACGGCCCCCGGCCCGCCCCCCGGCCCTGGTACCACCCAGGGGGGCTTG